CTATTTTCTTCTCTTTTCTTGTCTCTATAGACATCCCATTGTACAGTGGGAATCAGAAAGAACTTATCACTAATCCTGGCTCTTATGGTTACTTACTGCTTAGCCCAGGAAAATTTACTTAATCTTGCTGAGACTTGGCTTTTTGTTCTGTATAATGGGAATGATAATATCTATCACATGGCTTACTGAGTGGATTAAGTAAAATAATGAATGTAAACCACTTAGTACAGCACCTGGCAGATAGTAAGTGCTCAGAACAACATACAATAATAATGATAACTATTACTGATTGTTATTTTAAAAACAATAGTGCACAAGAATGCCTAAAAAGTTGCTATCAGAAGAAAATGATAAGAAATTAAAATAATTCACAAAATTGATAGTCAACTCATAACAATCAAAGTTGACAGTAATTCTGCCAACAAAACAGAAAACAATTTGAAAAGAAGACCTGACAAAAGCAGTCATTTGGTGACCTCTGCTGCCCAAAACATTTTCCGTGTAAGAGGAAGACTGAGGCAAAGCTAGTCATTTCAATAGTCCATCAGGGTTCCCTTTTAGTCTGGCGCCCCTGCTGGCAAGCAACCGGAATTGACTGCCACGAGTGCTTTGGATCCACTTCAAGTGCCTCATTTTCTGTTACCCAGTTCTATTGATTCTACCTCTTTCTGATTTCCTGAACCCCCCCGTTCTGTTCATTATTGTTTTTAAAATAACAATAAGTAATAGTTATCATTATTATTGTATGTTGTTCTGAGCACTTACTATCTGCCAGGTGCCGTACTAAGTGGTTTACATTCATTATTTTACTTAATCCACTCAATAAGCCATGTGATAGATATTATCATTCCCATTATACAGAACAGAAAGCCAAGTCTCAGCAAGATTAAGGATTACAGCACTGCTACAGCCTCACAAATGGGCAGTTGCCATCAACGCCTCCAACTCAGATTTTTTTCTTGAGAGATTCTTTTCCAAGACTGATGCTTAGTAATTTATCTCTCATTACCTCATTTAACTCAATCTTTATAACTCATGGTACAGTTTATTGCTTAAGTATACCGTTTTTGGAATCAGATAACCAGGGTTTATGTTCTGGCCCTGATGTACACTTGCTGTGTGACTTGGATAAGTTTCCCAATTTCTTGAAGCCCCAGTTCCCTAATTTGTAAAATGAAGAAATGATACCGCCCTCCCTCATGGAGTTGTTGCGGTGACAGAGCCCTTGGCAGTGTGACTTGCATTCAGTAAGTACTCACTAAATGTTAGTACTGCTGTTATTTATCACATAAATGTGTAGAAACACCTAGGATTCTTACAGTCACCACCCACTTGTCACTTGTCAGTGTCAACATTTATCAATTTACCCTTCTACCCGGCAAAATTAACTGTTACCTCAAACATCATCTATTTTGACTGAAATACAGTATATAAAGAACTGTAGCATTTCTGAGAATTTAAGGCATGCTAGAGCACTTGTTTACCTAATCGAAGCCTTAGGAAGTGTTAAGAAATGGATGAATCTTGTGTAATGGACCCTAAGAATCCATGGGTAAAAAATTTTCACCAGACATTATAGGAAAAATCAAAGAGACTACAAGATCCAAAGGAAATGAATTGAAAAATAGCTAGAGAACTCTGAAAAAGGAGCCACATATTTGAAAAATGGCAAGAACACAGAGAAATCTTAGGATGAATCCAAGGATTGCAAACTCCAGTGTGGGCATGGCCAGGCAAGAGCAGTAATGAATGAAGCCGCAGGGTGAAAACCGCAAAGTGCATGCTCTCTGGAATAAGCCAGTACCTCAGCTCTGGCTAGTCCTAGCCACGTGGGATTGAGGGCCCAGGGTTGCCTGCCCCAACCCCCAAATCCAGAAATCTAAATTTAGTTTAACCTAAACTTTTCCAATATTCTAGTGTAGCGTAGGTGAATTTTAAAAACTATTTAAAACTCCGAGTGAACAAACAAAACGTGTGAAAGCCCAAGACACACTAAGGCCAAATATCTCTTTTATAATAACATAGAATTATTACAAAGACTTGAGGATGTTTACTATAGATTCAGTCATCAAAAGGGGAAAGGAAAGAGACAGAATGAACATTTATTAACCTCCTACTAGTGCCTTACATTTTAAAATCTCATTTGAGTGTCACAATTTGTTAGGGAGGAAACATTGTTGTCATTTTCCAGATGAGGAAACTGAGCCGACGAGTTTTACAGAAACTTATTCCAGGCCACGCAGCAAGGCAGAATTCATATTGAGAGCTCCTCAATCCAAAGCCCCGCCATTGCTCCTGTGGTCATGAGAATGACCTTACCAGACCTTCCCCTCAACGGAGGGCAGGTTTCGGAGGGCTGGCGCCGAGTGCTGAACTGCGTCACTGCTTCTGCTGCCAGCCAATGACTGGGCTCGGCCTGCAGCTGCGAGACCTGAGACCAGGCTCAGGGACTCCCCGAAGGCCTTGTTCAACCTTTCCTAGACTGTATGGTGGTCCAGGATGCTTCTACCCCCTTTCTTTCCTTCTTTCCTTTACTGGGGTCAGATCTGAATTGCAGTCCAAGGGGTCTCCCAGCCTCTTCCAACTCCCTTCCATTTTTTTCTCACATTCTCACATTCTTTCATTTTTTCCCTTAATAAAATCCATGTACCTTTATCCATCTAGGTGTCCTATTTCTTGGAGAACCTTGACTAACTAACACAATTGCCAAAAATCCCCCGAAGGCCTTGAACTTGCCTGGGAAAACCTGACTTCGTCCATCAGGAAACCCTGAATAGACACATCAGTCCGCAAGGGCAAATGCTTCCATCCAATAATAATTTTTTCTTTAAAAATTGCTATTGTAATATCTCATATCAATCCCGACATCCCAGGAATACGGTAAGCTGAGTGTGATGTGACAACAACACCATCACCACCAACAATAACAACCAGGCAGACCCCTGGGAGAGGGTGACGACAGTCCAGCCTGCGGCAGTAGCCCTGGGTGGCACACTCACCTGGTCTCGCTGCTTGATTCGTTTGTACACATATTCGGCAAATGGTTTTCGAGGAATAAACCTCCCATCTCCTGCCATGACGCTGAGAACTCCAGCCTCATACACCACTTTGCCTCTTGAAATAGTCACAAGGGGCACCCCGTGGCAAACCATGCCCTCGAAGATGTTGAAGTTAACAGCCTGATGATGGGTTTTTGCAGAGATAGTCCTGTGTTTGTGAAAACAAACAAACAAAAGAAGCTTGAGATCATCACCAGCTCATTTGATGAATGTAAAATATTAAGAGGAGAATGACTTAGAAGAAAATTTAGCAACTCTATTAAGCCATAGATTTATCACTGTAACAAGTGACTTTAAGAATAGAACATAGCATTAACATTTCATTACAAAGTAATTATATTTTCTGAGAGAAAAAACCAAGACATCACTCTTTGAGGTGATTAATGAGGATGGAGTGGGTGGAAGGAAGGCATTGTCTTTCATGTTTAGACTTTTAAATTATTTTTTACTTATGTGTTAAAGAACAACCTGTTTTTTCATTTTTAAATTACAAAACATTTTAAACACAGGCGAGTCTGATGAACACACTGACCCAATATCCAGCTCTATGGAATTTTGACTTTTTGCAGGTGCACTTGAGGCTTCTCCAATACCCCTTCCCAAATCCACTCCTGTCCCTGCCTTCCAGAGGTAATCACTATCTAATCGTTATCAAATCAAATTTGGCAAAACATATCTTGAATTTCCTTTCTTTGTGTATGGCAAACTATAAATTTGAGCATAATAGAAATGATCAAATGTGCTAGAATATAATCTCTTAGCATCTTCTCTGCCACACATTTGCATTTCCATCATCACTCTCGGTAGTTTATCAATACTTTTCAATCTTACACAATATGATTGATGATGATGACTTCCAGGCTGGGTGTTTAGAAATGCTGGGTGCCCCCTTCCCTTAAATCTCATTAAATGGAAAAGAAAAAATAAATCTGGTAGCAGGGAATAATAAACACATAATCTGAATTCTGGTAGAAGTCGCTGCAGTCCCTCTCAGGAATGCATGAAAGAGAAGTACTCTGCTAAGATCCTCCAGGCTGAGTCGAAGGCAGAGTAGACAAAAGCTCCCCCAGTCCTAACCTGGAAGGGCTGAGCTGGGAACCCCTCACTGTTGGGTGCTGCAGTCCTAGACATCTACAAGATAATGCTGGCCAGGTCCTTGGTTCCGGATCCTACATCCCACTGCTTACTTGGTTTCCAATTCTCGTAGCCCAAACAGAATTCTTGATTCTCAGTGCCAATCACAACACACGCACTTGACTTTGTTCCTCCCTTGACTTTCTCATTTCAGTAAATGACACCACCATCTACCTTTCCTTGCCCCTCAAACCATCATCAGGCTTGTTGGTTCTATCTCCCCATAAAATAAATCCCAAAGCTGCCCACTTCTTGCCCTTCCATTGCTCCCACCTGAGATTGCACTATCATCTCTCACCTGGTCGATGCCAGCACCTTTTACTGGCCTCTTTGCTTCAGCTCTTACCCTCCTATACTCCTTACCACTCTCCACAAAGCTGCTCAAATGATCTTTTAAAAATCAAAATCCGATCATGTCACTCCAGTCTGTTCCCCACGAGCCAAATAACTATAAAAAAGCACAGTGATAATAATAATAAAAGAAATTGCTCCAAGTGAGAAATATCCACCATGGAAAAGAAAAAGAGGAACATCCAGTATGTCAGGCAGAGTGCTTATAATATCTTATTTCATCTTTAGAACGCCTCTTCAAGGTAGAGAGTATTTTCCACATTTTATGGGAAAATAAATTGAGATTTAGAAAGGTTAAGTAACTTGTCAAAGGACATATGACTAGTTTGATGAAACTGGATTATTTTTATATTTTAAAAATTTACAATAAAAATGACATTTTGGTGTACAGGTCTATGAATTTTGACACAGACATAGATTTGTGTTACTGTCACAACGACAGTTCCATCACTCCTCAAGACCCATACTATTCCTGTATAGTCACACTCTCCCCCACCCCTAACTCCTGGCAACCATCGTTCTGTTCTCCATCACTATAGTATTCTCTTTTTCCGAATGTCATATAAATAAATGGAATCATAGAGTACGTCACCTTTTGAGACTGACTTCTTTCATTCTACGTAATTCCTCTGAGATTCATCCAAGTTGTTGTGCATGTCAGTAGTTTGCTCTTTTTGTCCTGATCAGTATTCCATTGTATGGATGCACCACAGTGTGTAATCCATTCACCCACAGAAGGACATTTGAGTTGCTTCCAGCTTTTGATGACTGGGCATAGAGCCATTATAAAATGCAGGTGCAGGTTTTGCATGAACACTTCCCTAATGTAAATACCCAGGAATGAAATTGCTAGGTCATATTTTAAGAGTACACTGCAACAAAAAGATCTTTCAGTGACCTTAGGAACCAACTCACTGATATAAAGAAATGTTTAAAAGATCACTAAAGAGCAGGAGATAGGTACAAATACAACAACAATAATTTCAAACACTAAGAGGGGGGAAAGTATTGATCAAATGATAAATAATGCCACTAAAACAGGAAAATGAAGAAACTATTTAAAGGGATACTAACTACAGAATGAGTTACGATGAATTATGAGTTGGTGATGAAATATAAACTCAAAGAGAATAAATCTAGGCAACAACACAGAGGGGCTTTGGACATTCAGGTTAAAGTGACTTTTCATGGCCCTCACCTCTCTGCCAAATATTTCCTGGGCTGCTGCATTCCTACTCATCAAAGTTATATTGATGGCAGGAACTCTTGTGCTTGCATTGCAGAATGCTACATAAAGTTGTTTGGACTGATGCATCAGTAAGGCTGCTATATGAAGAAATTAAAATGATTTAAAAATTTATATTGAAATGGTTATTTGAAGTGCAAGAATGGGAGGGAAAAAAGGGGAAATCCTAAGTTAAGAGTTACTGAAGTTCTTAGGAAAATAATCTAACAGAAGAAATAAGCTCTATACACAAAGATTGTCGTTACAACGTTGCCTGAACTATTACAAAACTGAAGCATAACAATTTTCCAATGGCTATTCAATGGAATATTAGGCATTTATGAAAGACTAGAATTAAGAATACTCTGGAGAAGCAAAAACCCCCCAATAATTATGTACTATTAAATGAAAAAGACAGGCTATAGATAGTATATACACTATGTCTACAAGGAGAATACATTTGCATGCGGACAAACACAAAAGGAAATATACAAAGTAGCTTTTTTTGTGGGCTAGAAAAAATGAATATGGCAGATTCAGAATATCTTCAGAGGTCTCGTTATACTGTTTCTATGGCTTAAGTTGTGATCTTACAATGAGGTTGACACAGCAAAATATCAAATCAGATCTCTCTGCCTCAGGCCAAATAAAAGTCATTACCTTGACTTTCTCAGCCTTGGGATAAGCAAGAGAAAGAGGACAATTAGACAACATCTAAGAGATTCTCTATAATAAGGCATTATGCAAATGAAGTCAAATTAACACAAAATGTAAATTCAAGGCATTATCACTAGCAGCAAAGAGAATATGCTTCCACTTTCACATTGGGAGGTGTCTGACAGGGTGTCATTCCTCACCCAACTTTTTCGTTCCAGCCAAAGCTGTAATTCTCCCATCTTAGGAGCTTTCACACTTCTGAATCTTTGCACATGAAGTTCTCTTTACCCTGAATGCCCTCCTCACTTCTGCCCCTCTCCCTTCCCTAAGACTCCGCTCAACAATCCTGGTCCCTAGAAGCTGACCTTGAGGACCCGGGGTGGCGCTAAGCATTTTCCTCTGTGTTTTAGCATTATCTGAGTGTCTTGTCATGATCTATTGACAAGGCTCTTTTCCTGCTTGGTGCACACTTTAAGACAGAGACGAGGTTTTTTATCCTTAGCACATAATAGGTGTGTTATAAATATTTATGCAATGACCAAATAGAAGGATTGCATAGTTTCCCTCCTGTTTAGTCAAGATGGTTTTATTTCCTGCCCCCATGTCCTCTGGAACATGACTGTGTTTTGGAAACAGAACATTGAATTAAATGAGAGATAAACATCCAGTCCATAAGTTCTGTTGGGTACCTAATATTTCTGACATGCCGTAAAATTGAATTAGTAATAAATAAATAAGTAAAATTATTATAATTATCATGCTTAGTTGCATCTTATCAGCTTATATGAAATACTTGTTCATTGACATGTAGAAATACTTGGCAATGCCAATGTTATCAACTACAGTAAAGTACAAGCTGGGTGTTATGACCCCATTTCCCAGATGGTAATGCTGAAATAGAGCTGTTTAAGAGCTTGCCCAAGGTTCACATAGTTCAATACTGTTTGAACTTCTGAGAGGTAGGAACCATTTTCACCTTTTGAGAATACTGTTATATTTGTAACCCGTCTTAAGAAGGTTTAAAAAAAATCATGATACATTTTTCAATATTTAATTAATAGACAGTTTTAAACAAAAAATACAATGCAAATTCATCACATGATTTATAAAATTAGTATAAAACCTTTTTAAAAATGTATCCATTCGTAGTGTAGTATGGGAGATGTGGTCCATTAATGGACCAAATGCTAGTTCAAGGTCACATGTCTCCGTAAGGACATCTGTTGTTCCTTTGAACGCACTTCCTTTGGGGAAATCTCCCCAAGGCAGATGTCAGGAACTTTTCATCCCAGCCTCTTTTGATTCGCAGTTGGGGCTCAGGCATGTGATCTGGGCTCCTCCAAAATGGTGCCCTAGAGTCAGGCTTCGCATGGCAAATTGCTGACACAGGAAGCAGGTGTCACAGGAATCCTTGTTCCTGAGGGTGGGGATGGACAAATTCTGGGTTTAGGGCCAGCTGGACAGAGGTTCCATCAGTAGGATCTGAGCTCTGTGCAGTGAGCATCATGGTATCTATGCCCAGGGGCAGTATCAGGGCTCTCTGCTGCCCCGTGTTATGCCCAGGGCATCAGTCCTGGCTGTGTGACCTCTCAGCTTGGTCCTCCAGCCCTCCTGGAGATTCTGTGAGCCACCTGAGCATTAAGCATCATCTCTTGACATGCAGCACACAACAATAGATCTGTCCTCAAAACGCTCCCTGTGCCTTTATTTTACAATAACAAAATACCCTCCAGTTTGCCATATGTTGCCCAAAGTTGTCAGAGTTGCCCTCTGATGCGGCC